TGGCTTCGATAAAAGGTGCACGGCGAAGATTTTGCTAGAGGGTTTGGTAGCAAAAGCGGTTGAAGTGGATTTGAAGCTTTTTGGGGTTTTTTTTACCACAGTTTTCTAAACATCAAAAGTAGAAAGGAGACCGATGGGAAGGTATTCATAGGGGATAGAGCAACAAAAGAGAAAAAAGTCGCAGCATCTGGGAGCGTCAACCGCGGCTCCCATCAGGATTTTTTCATCCTAAGGGAGAGGCGGAGAGAACCACCTTTTGTTGTTCTGCGCAAATTGGCCTTATTTCTGATGGCATCATCAATCCGTCACATGTCCCTTCGGTTTTCTTCACCGTTACTACCTCAGTTTGCCCCATCTTTTCAGATTTGGAATTTTTTATCCCTTCTCCAAATCTTGTGTGATTTTAAAATCGGGCTTTTCCATTTTTTTCTTGCTCCTTTGTTGAATGATAAATATCCCCAAGTTATAGCTTAATTAACCTTAAAACTGTACATAATTTGCCTCTCGCACCAACGATTTATAACTATAAGTTTAACTTTAAATATTCTATGGTTGGAGGATGTCCAGTGAGGGCTACTTTGCCCAGGTTGGCGACTAAATGAGGTTATTTGCTAGTAAAAAACGTTGAGGGGTGATCATTGACCTAAAGTAAAGTGAAGGGGCTCATTTACATAATTTGCCTTAATTACATGAGAAAAATAAAAATAAAGACTTTTAATTTCAACAATTAATTGATGGGTTTTAAGTAACATCTACATTATATATTATTCATTGTGTGGTTATAATTAGGTATATTTTGATATTAAAAAATTGCAAAGCATCTTGAGCTTTTTGTATACTCTCATTATATTGCTATCGTTTCAAATTTGCTGATAGCTAAGTTGTGAAAACAACAAACAATAATAGCTTAACAGAAAAACATAAATGGAAAATAAGAGGTAATTAATTTGCATAGAATATAAAAAGATATTGGTGTTTATTAGTTAGATATCTAAAAAAAAAAAAAAATTAAAATTATATTTTTTCAATAAATTAATTTGAAAAAAATAAAACAATTTTATTTCTGCTTTAAAAACTAAAATATTTTAGTTTTTTCAATAAAAATTTATTAAAATAATATTATTTTAGATATTTTTTATTTAATTTTTTACAAATATGGCTAATAGATATTTTTCCCATGAAAAAATGATGGTTTGGTGATAATTGATCATGTCAAGACAAAATCGAGACACGGTAATGGGAATATTATTTTAGAATGGTAATTTTGTTAAACAAGTACAAGGATTATTTAAATGCATTGCAATTAATCTCATACTATATATATAACATTTCTTCCCCTCATAAAAAAATCTCTCTATTTTTTTCATCAGCCAAAATTATCTCATTGTTGGGGTACAAGAGTTACCATCCTTTACTTACAGACCTTAAACCAGACAGAATTCCTTATCAATCCACACCCCAACAAGGAAAACAAAACAGAAGCCAAAAATAAACTTAAGCGAAGCACAAAAGCATCCCTTTTACTGCTTAATGCTGGTTGAGTGTGAGTACTCGTGGAAAGTTTGGACTAGTTGTTACCCATGGATATGGTGAGCTGTTTAGACTGCCTTACAAAAAGGAGTAAAAGACTGTTGAGATTTAGAGGATGCAACCGAAGCATAAAATCAAAAATTATTCTTTTTGACCCACCTAGAATTGTTATGGATGTTAAGAAAGCATAACAAAACAACTCTCAATGAAGCATGCCTCTTAGAGTCCGATACTTTGACGAAGCCTAAGAGCCTAAAATATAAAACTCTCTAGTGGTGATATCCGCACATATGCTAATTGAATTAGGAGAAGAATAAAGCCTTCTAGTCCTAGATTTGAAGAATTCTGGTTGTTTCTTCTCTTCTAGTAGAATTCTGTAGTGGGATAAAATTCCACAAAGAACTAAGGAGAGAATTATGTTTTTTACTTTTATTTATACTCATTGATTTCTAACATGTTCCTTGATAGCACAGGTTAAAGGTGCAACTAAAATAGTTTATTATTAAGTTACATAAAGAAATAAAGATTAACTTTAATTTTATCAATTAAGCGATTAAAATAATTTGTGGTATTAATACTAAAATCAATATCAACTTTTTTTGTTTTTCTATATGATTTAATGGCTGAGTAGCACAGCTAATGACCTCTGTAATTTAGTGATAATTTTCTTATAATAAAAGTAAGGGATCTTGACTTTAAGTCGTATAGTATGTGAATGAATTGAATTAAGAGATAAAAAATAGTTGTTTCACATTATACAACCTAAGATCAAAAAGAAAAGTAAAAAAAAATAAAGATGCTAAAAGGTGCATTAATTTGCACTCCTAACCTGTGCCTCAAAAAAACCCTAATAGTAATAGGCTAATAGCAAATTAGTAAGAGGAAAACTAGAGTAATTCTATTCTAATTAGAAATAAATTAAATAAAT